AATGATGAATAATTCTTGAGTTCATGATGAATAATTCATTTCATGCCTACAGAGAAATGCTCTGTTTGCCCATTTTATATGTCATTCTAGTAAAGGCGGAACCACAAATCCAGTCCAGTGCATAATAATAATAGGCTAAACTGTCATTGAAATATGATTGATCAGTATTTTGTGACTGAGGTGCGATCTTTGCAAATGTTACTGTGATGATCGCAGAGCCTCAGAGCTGCGCTTTTTGCGAAGGGTTCCCTGCCTTTGTTTTCCAGTTTTGTGCGTGCTGTGACTGTGTGAGTGCAGGGGCGTGTCCACTGTGGCGAGCTCTCAGCGCACAGGCCAGAGAGCAAACTGGGTCAGGCAGCCGTCATAGAGCACATACAGTATGTAGGGGTGGAAGGAATGTAAGTGTTGGGGAACTCCACTCAGTGGTTCAGCCTGGGTAAATAGAGGTCTCTCCCCCAGTGGGTGATCCTTCCCAAAGGGGGGACAAAGGGCTTCCTGAATTTGAGGGACTTCAAATCTCAGAAAAGGGCTGCTGTGTACACCCTTGTCCCTTACAGTTTCCTTTCTTTCCTGATTTCTGCAGTAAATATGCTGAACCCAGGTTATAGTAAACTGATATTGCCCAGATTCCACTCAATAAAAATCAGTATAATCAAATATTTTGTTTCTGAACAAAAACACACATTTCTTATCCTGCAATGCAGTGGATTTCTATTGCCCAGGGAGCATATGAAATGTGGTTTGTTTTTCAGCAGACGTGATGTATAATGACCACAAAGAGCATGTCAGCTTCGGCAAGTTGCCAGGAGATGTTTCGGAATTATTCATAAATAAAAGTTTAGACAATGTAACTCTTTGCTGCAGTGGTCCTCCTGAACAGACTAGCATTTAAAAATAAATTTGCTTTTGGCAGATGTTTGTGTAATATAGTCCTGAAACTTAAAGTCAGTGATGAAACCGTATTTGTTTTTGTTATTTAGGAGAATCAATGAGAGTTTGAAAGTAATATGTTCTGCCTATTCAGGACAGGAAAACAACTTCTCTTCCAGGGGAAGGATCATACAATACATTAATTTAGCAAAAGAGATAGAAATGTGATTGAAGTAAAAAATTAAACATTGCAATTGGAGAATGACCTGACTGCTTCTACAAAGAAGTTTTGAGTAAAAGAAAAAGATGTGCCAGAAGGAATATGGCATTGTATTGGGGTTTTGTTTTCCAAGGCAGGCATTATAGGATTTCTACATAGTGCAATCTTTAGTTACAATAAATTTTGAGCAATTAGTTTGGAACCCTGTGTTTTTTAATCAAGCTGTAGTACTGTATTAACTGTTTCTAATGTGTCAGGTGTTAAGGACCACAGATGATGATATAATTAGTTAATATAAAGAGCTTTGGACAGAAAATGTTTTGTTGTACTGTATGTCATTACATCTCTGTAGTTATTATTTATGTAGGTTTTGTGACCTAAAAGTACACATTTAAACATGTTTTAAAACTTAGCCATGCTTCTCAAATATTTGTAGGTACTTGTAACGTTTAGTAAGCCTCTAAATGTTGCACTAACAGCCCTGGTTTAAATATCCCTGTTCTATCAAAAAAGCTGTGACAAATCACATTTTACTTGCACTGTCAATTGCACTTTCAGATGCCTACCATTATAATTATAATATAATTATAATGCATATTGCTGTAATTTCAAAAAGCCTTAGTCACACTGTCTTGTTTCTACCTATAATGCTCCCTGCGTTTAACTGTTAATTCTTAGTGTTCCACTCATTGTTTTTCTGTTTATTTCACTTCCATTGCCTTGTTTTATCCAATCAAAACCCTCTATCTGCTCTCCCCACAACCCCCCCCCCTCGCCTCCATCAACCAATCAGAGAGCACAGAGCACTCCAATGAAATGTGGACTGGAAGAGGTAAGTCTGACACAATTGAAGCATTTAAACTAGTTGGACCCTGCTTTCCATTTATCATTAGTATTTTAGCATTAGTATATAAACTTTAGGTGATATTTTTGCCAAGTTGTCTCTTGAAGTATGAAACTGTGGAATGATACTGTACATGGTGCTGCAGTTGTAGAAACATGCAACACTTTTTTTTAATCTTGGCATAATGCATCATGATATACAGTACTGTGAGCATAACGCATACAGTATTTGGACTTAAGTGATGGTTTGTGATCTTATAGCCTTGAATATACCTGAACTTCACAGAATAGAATTAAAATAATGGCCAATATACTGCATAAATAGAGCTGACAGTCAGAGGTTCCATAGTGGAAAGTGTTTTTGCCTGCTCTCTGGACAATTTGCCTAGCTCTCAGTGAAACCAATTGAACTCCTGCCTTGATCTCCAGCTCTTGGGCTGTAAAGGTTATTTGCCATGCTGGTGCTTACAGAATGGTGCAGTGAAGGGCTTATTTAACATTCGCCATTGGCATCTCTTTAGGGCAGAATTTGTTGTCCTTACGTTACATCATTTCATTCCAGTAGATGTCTTGACATAGACATTCTTTACTAACTCTTAGGTTGAGATTTGGTCTGCTAACACACTGAAATTTTGAGTTAAAAAAATAACAAATGAGGTACTGAAATGTGCAGTGTTAAAGGGGAAAGACATGCACTTTAGTAAGGAATCAACATGCTTACCTCCTCCTGCTCAATATTGAGATTCCCTTTCAAGAGCAGTCTTCTGCCATTAATGCTCTGTCAGCACTGAAACTAGAGCACACATACACTGAGAGTAATGCAGAGCTCTTTCAATTACAAATACAGTTGTTACATGCAATGTATGTAGGTGCTGGTAACTTTACATTCAGGATCACATTTTTTGCAGGTCCATTTGACAGATAAAGAGTGAATTTTAGCTGCAGAGCTATGGTAAATTAATATGTTGAGCTCTTGGTGCTCTATCAGGTTTTATGGTGTACGCTCTAGAGACTTTTCTGTTCACAGGGTAGTAATGTTCTGCCAAAATGTTGTGTATACAGCAGGCAGCACAAGAGCCAGATGCTATAAATTCTGGCAAAACTACAGCAAACAAACCTTTTTTTTTTCTTCTACAGTGTGTTTACTTGGACCAAGCACACAGTAGGGAGACATTTTATTGACTTCAATTAATTTTATTCCAGGCTTCTAAGGAGTTTTTGCTCTCCCACACACAACTAGAGATAACAAACTGCATGACCACTCTTATGCCCACATGCCAAGACCAACATGCAGTAAACATTGTACTATAGCTGGGATGAATGCTGTGATTGAACTTCATGTTTTTATATTAAACATGCTTTCGGTGTTAGTCTATTTGTACTCCATTATTTCTCATTTAGTGATAAGGGCAATACTATTAATGCATTTTTTTGGTTATTTCTTTGAGCAGTGTTTTATATCCATTATCTACAGTACACGTGGATGCAAATTGCAAATGTGCAGCTGACACTAGTAATTAAAAATAAATTAAATCGATTTGGAAAAAATAATTTAATCTGAATGATGTTTCAAATCACTGAAAATATCGAGCAGTTTGAATTCTTAAAATTCTGTTGTTGAAATGTTATGTATTTCAGTGTATCTTTTACTGAACTATGATAAACACCTACTATACAGTACTAGGGCTTTGTACTGTAGCTAATTACTTGCTAACCACCAGACTGATTTTGTGGCTATGTGATAATGCTTTGTTTTTCTTTCATATGGTGTATTATCTAAATGAGAACTTATCTGACATATCCCTGACTTAAAATAAATTTAGGTTTGGTTGGTGAAGGTACTGAATATTATTCTGGGAAATGGATTCTGATAATGTCCGAATTGAAGGAAACTAAGTGAACAAATTGCTGTTCAAATCCCCATTGTTGTGCCAATGTAGAAGCATTAGTAAAACAAAAGGTTCGAAAGCTCTTTCCTTGTGTTATAACAGCATACCACATACACAAAATCATTCTGCATCTCTCTTTCTTTCGACCTGTCTCGATTATTCTGCACATCTCAGGATTTTGAGTGAAGAAACTTGAGCCAAATTTCTACCCCAAAAGCTAAAAAAAAAAATGTAGATGCCCAGCCTCTTGGTTTAATCATCTTACTCTCAATTATCAGTCCTCTGACTTGGGAATCTTCCATTGAAGGATATGCTGTAGAGGAATGGGATGTTGAAGTTTTGTTGAATACCTTCCAAAATCTACTTCAAGATATTTTTGTTGCTTGCAGTGGCCCAATATATTGTTCATGGTTGTTCCTAATATTATGGCTGGTTAGTGAAGGTATTGGATGCCACATTAACATTTTTCAGGAGTCACGTAACAAAATAACTGATGCATTTATTTCTCATTTTGTTCTAATGATGTGTGTTGTACTGCAGTTAAAGAGGGTTTCATAAAATGCAGTGCCAACCTACGAGTTATACTGGAAAGGATTTTAGTAAGACTAGAAAACTAGAGTACAGTAAATGAGTTTGTGGCAAACACACTATTTCACATTCCTTGATAGAGTGTGGAGGATCGTATGTAATGCCATTGTGGTGCTATCCCACAGCTTGAAAGCCCAACTATGACAAAGCCATATGTGTAACGTTCATGCTTGTCTTTGTAAGCTTTCTGTGTGTGATTGATTTGTCCCTCTGAGTTTGCGGCCTTTGGTTGATTGTGTTACATAGAAACCTCTACATGTGATGTTACTGGAAATCCAACTGTGGAATGTCAGACTTAAGTTTTGTTAGTGTTAATGTTTCCCAGACACCCTTAGTAATGCCGAAATTATAAACACGCATAAAAAAGTTATTGTGCACAAGTTGCCTGAGCTTTTAATAGCTGCAGTGACTTCTACGCTAAATTATAGACATCTGGGTCTCTTCACACTCTTTCCTACAACCGCAGTTTTTTTTTCATTTTTCTGTACAGTATTCTTTGCACTCTCTGTTTTGCTTATATTTTCCTTTTATGATCATTTTCACATCTTCTGTGTTCTCCCTTCCACTGTCTCATCCCTTTCTCCCTACAGCTCCATCTGCGGTGTCCATCATGCACCAGGTCAGTCGGACAGTGGATAGCATCACGCTGTCATGGTCGCAACCGGACCAGCCCAATGGGGTCATTCTGGACTATGAACTTCAGTACTATGAAAAGGTAGGATTTCTCTCTCTACAAGGGTACAAAGATGTTAATTGTTGAATTTTACAGTACCCGAAACTGCTCTTTTTTTGCCGTATTTTTATAGTGTGGACAGGGAAGGGCTTTAAAAAAAGATGGCGAAGCTGCACAAAAGACTATATTTTGTGCATTGCTATCTTGAGAAAGAGGTTATACATTTTCAATACTATCTGTCCATCTATTTTCTAACCACTCCATCCAGTACAGGGTTGCTGGGGAGCCAGAGCCTGTTATGCTGGAAAGCAACAGGCAGCGGAGTAAACCCTGGACAGGACACCAGTCCTTCACAGGATGCACACAGATGGAGACGTGCTCACACCAGGACAAACATATTTCTTATAAAACCTATTTATACTTGAAAATACAAAGAAATATCATACATACTGTATGTGTTTCTAGACTAACTGTTGTACAGTAGACCTAATGCTTACAGTTTTGGACACAAGCGTTTGGAAAAGAAAACCAAATCTACTACAGGTCCTGATGGGACTATTAAATTCAGTTGGTTTGTGGACATTTGATACAAAACATTTTGACTTCAGTGCAGCTCAATTAATTTTGTGTACGCAGTTAAAGACAATGGTGTGTTCTGTTTTTGCGGATGAAGAAAATCCCTGATGACTTGAAATGTTTTGACCTGCAACAAAGCCTCTGTGGTATTTTAGCTCTGGTGATTTGAGTGTTTGAGGAAAAAAGGAACTCCACATGGGCTCTGAACGATCCACTCAGACAAGCACATCCTGTACATCTCTGGCACATGATCCTCAGCCAGCTGTCCTGAGTATAGTGCCACTCCCAGACACAGAGGAGGATGTCTTGTCATTACATTTGTCAACCAGGCTGCTAGAGCAGCTTCTCTGTGTTTACTGAATGACAGGCTGAAGTGAGCAGCTTGTTGAAAAGTACTTCATGATAGCTTTATGAAAAATTGTTGAGTTGTGTTGAGATTGTATTGAAATATTATTACAGTCTGCACAGAAAAGAGATGAATTTCCATCAAAGTCCATTGTACTTCAACACAGTAGATGGGGACTGTGAACTTAACTTTCCAGATTAAACATTTAATAAAGTAATCTACCATTTTTCATTAGAAGATAACAGTTAAACACTGGACATTTTTTCAAGCATTTTGTAATCTGGTTTGAAATGTAATATTATAACACAAATGTAATTAATTTCCTGAAAAAAATGAAACTTTAATTTTCAAGAATAGGCAGAATATCCAGCCATTCAGTATGTCATGTTTTCATGTACAGTACATGCAGTATGTGGACATAAAATATAGACTTACATGTTTCTACATACATATACTGTAGCGATATACTGTTGACACACCCTGGGGAGGTGTGCCTTAGCAGCAATCTTTTAATAGGCAAGTCTCAGTAATAAGACACAAAAATGCACCCGTAAGGTCCAATATTATGCTCTTTATTTTACAAAATGAAGAACTCCAAAAGCCTAGCTCTGTCCAAGCTCTGATTGCATTTATTTTCTCTGTCTGTTAGTAGTCAGGGAGCTCGGCAGCTTACTGGCATAAAAAGACAAGTCTCTCTCCAGACTTTCAGAAAAGCTGAATTAACATCCATTTGAGCTTCCCGAGAAAAAAAAACTTCTACATCCTCATCGGCCAGTTCCTTCTCACTCCCTTCTCCCTCTGGTGCTTCCTAGATAGCAAAGGTCAACAGCCGGTGGTAGCTGTTTAACTATTAACTAAAATTGTTATAGCTACTTATTGCACACATTAATAGATTATTTATTGACTGCTACAGCAGAGAGCTAAACTGTGACTGTAGAGTGTGTCTCTATTATACAGTATTGGACTCTTCATAATGCAGCCCTTACATATTGCAGTTATTCTTTATGAAATTATATCTATTAAAGCAAAAGAATTCTGATTTTTTCTATTATAAAGCCTCCCCATGGAACACCATCCACCTTGTTCACGAGCTAAGCAAACATAGAAGGCTTCCTTCTAAGGAAATCCAGTCTCCAATAAAATAGCACAAACCTGACCAAACAGTTAATATCTATATCAAGAAAGCCTAAACCCCAGTGATAATCGCAAAATTGGATAGAGTCCCAGTCCCGTTTATATTTAACATCAGTGTTAAACAGACATTTGCATTCATGCATCTGAAAATATACAAAACAGAAGCTGCCAAGGCATTGCAAATGTCTTCTTTACAAACCCTGCTGTAACAGTTAAGCAAAGGACCTTCTAAAGATACCACTGGGCTTGCTTTCGATGTACAGTATGTTGATAAACACCTTGAAGCACTTTGAATCATACTGTAGCTATTCAAACCCACCAAAAACAACATTGCAATCACTGGTACATTTTCGAGAAGAAAAAAAGCATGTAAGTTCAACAACAAACTTGGAAATGATGATTTATCCAAATGGCGGGTTACACCACCATGGAATTGCACAGCAGGTTATTAGTGGTGAAAAAACTGGTGCCAGTCAAACCGCAGTTTCGGAGGGGGGAATCAGGGCCAGAGAAGTCCATTCATTCATGGGATGACTATGTAAAGCTTTATCACAGAAATTGATTTTTTTGTTAACAAAGAAAAATGCCCATTTCAATTACAGTCTCGTTTTTTATGGGCTGCTTTTGAAGAGGATGTGCTAAATTAACTAAAATGTTCAGGAAATCCTGTAATACTACTATTTGGATTTATTGCAAACAGAGCCTTTTTTAATGGCTCTTTCTTACACCATCCTCACTTTTTCAAATGGGCTTATGGGCACGTACCTTTACTGAACGTACGAAGAGCGAGTGCTGTATTTATTCGCAGGTCATTTCACGATGACGTCCAGGGTTTATCAACAGTGGTGAAGTGTTCTTCAGCTACCCCAGGGGTAGAACATGATACCACACCCAGAAAAGTTAGCTTGTGGGACAACATCAATCTCATGATACGCTGCATGTCAGTTTTCTGTCTGGGGAGCTTTGGGGTGGCTCACTCTGAAGTGTTGCTCTTTGTTGCTGTGCTTCAGGACCAGAGTGAGTATAACTCCTCGACAGTGAGAAGTCAGACGAACACAGCAGTCATCCGTGGGCTCAAACCGGGGACGATCTACGTATTCCAAGTACGGGCACGGACAGTGGCAGGCTTTGGACGGTACAGTGGCAAGATGTACTTCCAGACCATGACTGAAGGTGAGGCCCAGAGTTCCAGGCACCACAACAACAGAACTCACGCATTCAGCAATTCTCTGGCTCTCACTGTCCTTTTCCAGTTTTGCAGTGAGAACTCACATTAGTATTCCAGTCCATATTCCACCTCTGTTACTCTTCTTAATATATGTTATAATTACATTGTTTGGGTAACATTTGTATGCTCCACTCAGTATAATGAAATGGAACACCTCCTTTCAGGAGTGAATAGGGTATGTAATGAGCAAGCTGATCCCACCTGTCATTTCCGTTTCAGGCTAGAGCTGAATTCTGAGATAAGCCATCAGCAATTGAAAAAAAAAAAAATTACTTGCAGCCAGTATCCACTGCTATTCAGGATGTCACACATTCATCCGATTTGCAGAAGACTGCTTTTCTGAGGAAAATTTGGTTAACAATAAAACCTGGAATGTTTTAAAATGAAGAAGTATTACAAATACATTATTTTCTGCCCATGGCTGATTTTAAATATTTGCATTTTTGTACAGGTAAAATAATATTTCCTGTTTTAAGACTGCTATATACAGTACATATGCAGTATTTAATATAATATTTCTACTATATTTTTTACTGTGTATTTTATAGTATATTCACATTTTTGTCTACACTTGTAGAACTATAATGTATGTATAGAAATGTATATCTATATAGTATCAAGGATTTCTGTCCCTTCCTCCCAATTTCTTTCTCTGTGCACATACCGAAGGTATCTATTAGGTTTACAGCTTTACATTTTATATACTGTAAGCATACTATAGGACTGTGAGGTTTTGGATTATAAAGCAAGACATCCTGTTAGCCAATGATCAGATTAAAAATTACCTAATCTCCGATGATAAGAATACCTGTAGGCAGGAATCTAAAAGTAGCAAAACTAATGCAAGAGCACTGACCCAGGCTTTATCTAAACGTCTCATTACCTGTATCGCTCAGGGATATAATTAGCCTGATCTCTTTTCAAAGCCTTCTCCTCTGAAAACTATGATGACAGGCAAAAAAATGAAAAGAACACGGGATGTAGAACTCCCAAGAATAAACCTAGACATCACAGATTGGATTTACCATCTCCTTTAAGAAACGGTGCTAGTACTTGCTAGTATCCAGAATAGGATCAGAGAAGATGGACCGGTAGTTAATGAATGGCAACAGAGAGTTTAGATTTTTCTTTTTTTAAAAAACCAACTCATTTAAAGCCAGTAGTGTGTTCTTTTCAGCACCTACAAAAACATTTAATATCATAAACTCAATATAGTGTATAAACGTTTCCTACAAAGTTCTTGCTCAAAGCAGTATAGAAGAAATTCCCCTGTGCCAACTAATGACATAATTGCCTGGCACCAGTCCGCATTTTGTGGCTCAGCTCTCAAACTTCAGTGCCAGCCAAGCCCGTTTCGACTAGGCTGACCCACCTTTCCAGAACAGTGCACTCGAAATGTTTTAATTATATCACTTTGACAGTGCTCACAAGTCAGTTGCTCAGGGGCAGTTTGTTCGTGGCCCAGATCCTTTTTTCCCAAGCCTTCTGTCCAGGGCAGGAGGTCTGGAGGAGCAGATCAAAACAGTCTCCTTCCGTCTGCCAAATATGTGCTCGCTCGTGAGCCTCCCATATGCTCCAGCTACTGCAAGATTGTGACTCGTGCCTCAAGATGTAAAATCGCAAGTGGAACCATCCATCAGGCCTTCTGAGGAAGCCTGTCTGTTCCCTATTATAAATAGACTGGAAATCTCATAACTGCTGACAGGCACAGGCAACTGTCATTTCCTGCAGACTCTAGTTCAGACTTCGTTATCCCTACACTATTCTGCTTTGACACCTAATGGCATCCAGCAAAGCCCACTGAGATTAGGTGTTTGGTGGCACAGAACTTCTCATTTCCTCTGGCCACTGCTTTGGTTTTTCCCAGCACACACTAAAGTCAAGTTTCAGGCTTCCTCCCAATCCTTGAATAATAACCGCCTTTTGCATTATGACCCAGTTGAGGGATCTAATGGTTCCAGGCTCTTAGGTTCATGTCCAGTAGGTGAGAGCTTACAAAACCAAATTTCTGAATAACTTCTAACTGCAAGTGCTTTTTAGGGCAACCACTGATAAAAATTTAGGAAAGGCTCCTTAGGACGACAGCCAGCCAGGGGGCAAGTTTGATAAAGAACTCTTAATCACGCCTGTAACTCATGCCTTTAACTGCTAGATGAAATCCTTCTCTTAGTCCCTACAATCTCATCATTCGATTATGCTTTAATATGCATCTTTTACTTCTTAATGCCTACTCAGCACCACCTCATCTGTGCTTTACCCCTGACTGTATCATGTATCATGCTATTGCTTACGGTATGTTTTATGCCCATGTGCCTCAAACCCCTTTGTTTTAAGTAGAAAGCAAAGCTGCTTCTCAGTCTTTTCAAATAAAAGCCACAGTGCCCCATGGACCTGGTTCTGTTTCTCTAAATAGTCAACCACATTTCCTCCTTCTCCCTCAATTGCCTTAGTCACTGGCAGTGAGGAGGTATTGATTTCAATTTGTAATTATGTGTGGAAAATAGTCATCTTCTGTTTCAAGGGATACAAATCTATCAGCACATTTCAAGCCCCGCAGAAGAAAATTAATGAGGACATCAATGATCATTATTTGTGTTCTGTCCAGCCATGTTACAAAGAGAAAAGAGCCCGTAATTCTGAAAGATGTCATAACAACCCGAGAGAATATGATTTCATAGTAAATATTGAAATATTGATAAATGACCTTGGCAAAAACATTATATAGTTATCGATCATTAGGAAACTGTTTACATTGCATCTGGTTTAAAATGTTTGTAATTGAAGTTGTTAATGTTGACTTTTTCACTCTTTTGACTTCAGCGGTTATATTTTAGAATTATTGATTATGCAACTAATCGCACATGGAATTTTAAATGTTTTAAATAGATAGGAAGGAAGGTAGGTAGAAAAAAACTTAATATATTAAATACAGTATCGTCCATGGAACCAAATCAACTTTCAGATAGGCAGCATCTTACTGTCATTGGGTTTTGTTGCAGTCCAAAACATCTACAACATAAGGGAATTACAGTATATAGCTTTAGGTAATGTAATATTTAGCTGTGCACAACTTTTTTGGGGGAGGGTCGTCCCATTGTTTTTCTGTTTACAGATGATTTCTGTTTTTTGCTGTACAGTAATCATGTATATCCATGTCTGTGCTTGCTGCCTCTGAGGTGACACTGTGTTGTGTCTCTTTCCAGAGGAGTACAAGACAAGCCTTCAAGAGAAGCTGCCCCTCATCATCGGTTCGGCTGCAGCCGGACTGGTCTTCCTTATCGCCGTTGTAGTCATCATCATTGTCTGCAATCGGTGGGTCATTCTGTCTCCTCCTCTTTTATCTTCATTGTAGAGAGTTGATTCTTAAGCAACAATTACTTATAGGCTTTCAAATGCACCCCCCACTTGCTACTAATCATAGTCAACCTTAGAAAGCGATTTATCCAATTAGGTCTTAAATCTTTAATAAGTGACCTTCAGTAGCATAATATATAATAAAAAGGTGTAATTAAGCAAGCATTTGGATTACTTTTAGCAATTAATTATAGTTCATTTACAGTTAGTCAATAATTAAGAGCTCAACTGGAACAAAACCCAGAATGTATGGTGTCCCTCCAGGATAAAGAACTACTGGATAGAAAATATTGATACTCTACATTGTTCAGTTTAGACCTTTGTTCCCTTAGTAGGTTTAAAACTTGTTTCATTAGGAGCTCTCCTCATTTTATCACTGAATTAATAAATTCATGAATAATGTTATATTAGGTTTCTCTGCAGATGTTTCATTAATTTCTTTCCATTCTAATTATCTCCTCTCGTTCGCGTTGCTGGGGGGTGTGAATAAGTCATTGGTGCATCACTGATAGGTTCCTTAACTTTCTGTTTGCTCAGTCGACCTCGTGCACCCCTTTCAAAAGTTGCATGTTTTCTGGGCTAGGTAGTCATCTGTTACAGAGACAGAATGACTGTTTGACAGGAAGAAGGTTTCAATGTAGAGCTGTCAGTGGATTTCCAGTGGCTGGTTTACTGTAGCATGGTGTGAGACATCTCTTCTGCAGTTTTATAGGTGATTGTTTTTTAACCTAGGAGGAGGGGCTTTGAAAGGGCAGATTCTGAGTATACGGACAAACTGCAGCACTACACCAGTGGCCACAGTGAGTAGCATGCATCCCTTCACTTTAAACCTCTGCTTGCAAAAATGTGATTTCCTTTTTTTTCCTCTATGACCTTTCTTACACTACTTACTTACTACTCATTAGACATTAAGCCCTTGTAGTTGCAAGCTGTTTTATTCCACATTCCCTTTTTATTTGTTGTTGTAAATCATCTGTATATTTATGTTTTATGAATCATGTTTGGGAAAAAAAAAAGTGCAAAATGCTTCCACTTCCAGATACCACAAAGCCATTTTATTGGCATTTCCAAATAGGAAAGATAAATAGTTCTGTGTAACATACAGCACCTTTGAAAAGAAAACAGCTACAAATTACAGTGTTTGTAGTGCCACCCCCCGCCCTTTCCTTCAACACAAATTAACCAGACCGATTTGTTTTCAGTCTCATACCAGCCACTTTGAAATTTGTTGTGAGTTCACCAGAAGAAATAAAAACCTCATCACTGTTTTTACTCAGAAAGAAGACGTTTTCATTTTTGCTATTGTTCTTGTAGTCTGGGGTTTTGATAAGGATTATCCAAGAAATATGATTAAAGTTCAAGGCCCCAATAATGAACCTTTTATTATTGTCTCCTTGCAGTAGAAAAAACAACAACTCTTGCAGCATACAGAACAGAATTCTTTCTGTAAATTATTTTTGCTCTTAATTAAGAGATTTTCAATGGCCCCATTGAAATGAAACAGCATGAAAAACAAAGGCATTTATTTTTTTCAGCAGGTAAAAGTAATATTGTTTCATTATACAGTATACACATTTTAGGAGTTCATAAATGTGTAAGACCAATTTAAATTCTGAATTATTTTTCTCAAAAAAAGATTGTAATTTGTAAAAACACAGGGCTGATGCAGCCACAGCACAGTTATTTAAAGGGGTTCTGTCTGTCAAAGGGATTATGTCTTATCATTTCTCCTGTTCAGCCTGGGAAATCTGATGCAGAGATGCATTTCTACCAGGAGCTTATTTCTGTTGCCTTGCTTATCAATTTAGACAGCTTTTATATAGTTTAATCAATAGTATCAGATTGCAGTAAATGCTGTATTTACAAAACTCAGTTCTGCGAGAGGGCAGAGAAGGTTAACCCGGCTGGACAGAGGCCATTACCAGCTATTAATATCATCCCCACAGCTTCACACAAGCACGGTGTAGAGGGCTTTGATTCGTTCCTTCCTCATCTGCCATTCAGCCTGAAATATTATGTGAAACCAGAGTAAGGAACTCGGAGCTCAATCCTTACATCTGGTCAGATTCATTCTATACTTTCCAAACCAAATCATTACTATTTGTGCACACACCTCATCTTCCTGTCTCTTTTCCCCTAGAATACATAATTCTGTACCTGTTGAGTTTGGATAGTCTCAGATAAAGTTGCATTGCATTTTTGCAAGCCCCAAGGGAATGGATAGAATTATGATCTGTGTACTCTTAATGCAAACCTGGCATACTGTACTGTATGTTTCCAGTTGTCATATTCACTGTTATTAAACACATTTACTGTAAACAAAGGTAATTATTTTTACACTTATCTGTGATATTCCAGTAACCTGTTGGGCTTTTCTTTTCTCTACTTAAAAATGACATTTCTTTCGCTCTTTTCTTCTGCTTCACTTTATCTCCATTCTGATTTTCCTAAGCTTTTGCTCCCATGGTACCACGTACTCAGCCCTTTGTGGGTTTTCCAGACCAGAGCCAAATGTGGTATTTAGACACAGAATAATGGGAGTTTATAAACTGGGACTCTTAAATCCCTTAACACTTTTAAAAGCTATCATAAGCCAATTTACCTGGTATCTAGACCTAAGAAAAGCAATTTATTTCCTGGAGCAGAACGCAATGATAATCGCCACTCACTCAGAAGCACTGTGCGTTTTCTTCTGGTTCTCATAGCTCTGTCTGCCTCAAGCAGATATCATTTTGGAAGAGGGCTGTACTCATATGGAGTGCATCTGCAATGGGGGATAAACAGTCCCAAATGTAAGCTGTTCCCTGTCCTCGTCCTCTAATGCAATTACTAGGTGACCCTTCATACCTGCAACTCCAGAAAGTTGGGGATATAACAAGGTCATGTCTTCAACAACACCCCAACAACATGGATGCATAACTTTTTCCAGAAACCTACAGTGCTTTGTATTTGAAAGTGCCACCTACTTTTCTCAGCTTTCCAGTTTGGAATGTTTAGTAATAGTATATCCCTGGTTTTCCAGCCTTAATCTCAGACCTGGCTGTACCCCAGTCCCCCAGTTCTAGCCTATAGCTGAAAGTGAACTACGCTAGAATTGTCTGGGCAGACTTCTTTTGCACTTTACACAATCTCCAACCCTCGCATTTCAGAACAAACCATCCCTTCCAGATCTTACACTTCCCAGGTTATATCTTGCATTATATACAGCATATACATGTGTGGTATTTTTTTATTCTGTTTTCCTCAGCTCGAGATTGAGATTTTTACAGTAGTGGGTTTCGCTCTTGGGGTTCCCAGGCAGGTAGGGGTGCTAGTTCTGTAAATATTATATCGTCATCTTTTCTTTCCAAGTGACTCCAGGAATGAAGATCTATATCGATCCGTTTACATATGAGGATCCCAATGAGGCAGTGAGGGAGTTTGCCAAGGAAATTGACATCTCCTGTGTGAAGATTGAGCAGGTGATCGGAGCAGGTAAGCTTGAATGCCCACGGCCTGCTGGCCCTCTGCTGTGAAGGAGCAGGGATATTTCTCTCCAACACCATGTTCTGTACTCAGCTAGTGAGAAGCATCTCTCATGCCACTGTTTTATATTAAAAAGAATACAACAATTCCAGCACAAAGAAGAGATTTTTAAAATAATGCATTCTTTTTTATTGATGGCTTTTTAAAAATACATTTTTAAAGTTGGCATTTACTATATTTAAATACATTCTGAAATAATTTCATATATATATATACAGTATATGTTATTTTCTTGCTATTCTGTTTACGTGAAAATAATTTGTGTCCAGATGTACATTATTCTCCTGTCTCAGGGCTTTTATTGCAGCCTGAAACTTTCCTTTGTTAAGTTACATTAATGTCCGTGGGGACAAATAAAATAAGTTTATTGGGCTGGAGTGTGTTGGAGATGCAGATAAAAAGAGTGAGAAAATAAAATGAAGAAAAGGTCTGTGTACTGTACTCTGATGGCTCTTGTTAATTGGAGTTGAATCAACAAAATGAAGATAATAAACAGCAGTCTTTGCTGTAGAACATGACTGTTCTGACATCTGTGTTGCTCAGTTTGAACTCAGCAGGTGTCTTTCTCAAGGCATTAAGAGAATTTAGAGTGTTTTTCCCCATTATGTGTGGCAAGCCAGGTTGTTGCATCTATTTATTTTTTAGCAGGGACTCTGTTTTTTTTTAAATCATAGCTTGCTATATGGTGGTTTGTTGGGGTTTCACTTTTTATTGTTAGATAAAGAGAGTTGAAGATACAAAAGCTACCAAACGAAGAGCAAAGCTATACAAATACAATTTCTGTACAGAAGGGAGCAATATGCAGGGTATAACCAGTCACAAACATGATAGTACAGTGATTCTCTCTAACCAAATACAGTGTCGGTAATCTGAGAATTTGAAGCTTAAATTCTGAATTATATAGTAAATACCCTTTCCAGCCTGACTAAATATTGAGAATGTAGTTAATATAAAAATCTGTGTGGTATACTGTATTCGAAGGGAAACCGTTTGATCAGTTTTTTTCACCCCTCACAGATATAAGCAGAAGCAGTACAATCCATTTTGAAACAATACTTTTCATAAATTCTTTGCCATAAATTTGTGTATTTATATATCAAATTAAGGTTACAGCTTCCTGTTTTAAGCTACATTTTATTTTAGGTACAACTAAATGTTAAGTAAAAAAATACAAATTGTTCAGAAGACAGCTTGCTTTTCCAAAGTTCATTCATTTTAACACGATTGTAGTTAAACGATTCACATTTCAAAAGATACAAAGAACTGAGTTAAGTGTCAAAACAGGCTTTGACTGTAATAGAGATTTAAATGTACTTGCGACAAAACAAAAGAACAGAAAGGATTTTATTTTTATGCAGTAATGTAACATGATGGATCATTTTCGGTTTTGGAAGTGTAATCTGAATTCCTCTTTGACAAGATAATGATTGAGCTCATGTTGGTAATATATTAATTTGTATTTAGAAAATTAGGTGGAACTGGCGTACTAAAAGTGCTCAAATAGATGCCTCAAATGCCCCAATACAAATCAAACTGAGCTCATACAGAATTATAGTGAAAAAGTTGAATCCAATAACCTTCAACATGTAGAGTGCCTTCATTTCATGTGGTGTAAACATCCTCCAACAGTATTCTAGCCATGCACTAGAAAAATGTTTAATTGATTATGACTGCTAAATAGAGAGTTTTCTTGCTTGTATAGGCAAAAATCATGGGAATATGTAAATATAAACATTGAGATTTATTACTTTGCTAAAGAAAAAAAGGTAAAGTAATCCAAGCAAGATGGCAGCCCACTCTTGTGAAAAACATTTTTTTCAAATTTGTTGGTGGTTGTATAGCTCTAGGATCGAACTCCTGAGCTACTGAGGACCCATTATGAATTAAGGTAGAGACCTTCTCTGATCTGATCTCCGAAGATGGGATTCTTTTAATTTATTTTAGAAAGTACAAAATATAAAAACCAATCCAATGCAAAAGGGGAGTTCATAAAGGAAGACAGAATGAACAAAAGGAAGAGGGAGGTTTATATAATACATCTGCCAGTGACAAAGTGTCAATGTCACTGACAAAGTGTTTTGACTACCACAGTGCAGCATCTAATAAAGACAATTTCTATAAATGATTGTAGCTAAGCATGATTTAAAGGTATCCCAGGCTGCATCAAGCCCTGCAAGAAAGATTGTCAGCTACAGTTAAACCTGTCAGTAAAAGATGTTATACCTAGACTTTGACAGTAAACTGAGAGTTGTCATTAATCAAGTAGTCAGGGACATAATGGTACAGTAACACCAGTTGCCACTGAGAGCACGTCAGAATATATGTAGGTACGTTGCCCTCCCAGGCTATGACATTATCTCCGCCATTTCCACAAAGACTATCCATGAGAGTTTTATGGACTGATGGGACCAAGATTAATCTTTACCAAAGTGATGGAAAGGTTAAAGTGTGTTGGAAAAAAGGAACGATAGATGGTGCAAAGGACCAGCTCATCTATGAAGCATGGTAGAGGTAATAAAAGTCATGGCCTGAGCATCCATGGCTGGCTCTGGAGCTGGCTCACTTATCCTTATTGATGAGCAAAGCATTTCAAACGATAACACAAAGAAATTGGTGAGCTTGATGGTTCACAAGTCATACAGCTATTGTCCCAAAGAGGTACTTATTAAAAGAATACTGAATACAGCATTTTTGTTCTACAATTAAAAAAATCTATGCATGGAATTGCCCCCAGAATAAAACAAATTATATTGCACTTATCATTCAAATTATTCTCACCATAAAATTCTTTGATTTCTTTGGAAAGGAAAAATAGCAGTTTTGACTTTTTCGGCCCAGTGATTCTGGAAGGCACAGTATGCTGGTCACAACCGGAGCGCATGTAGTACAGAAAAGGTCAGGAACATTGTTCATCTGGAACCACTGGCATGGCGCTGTGTTAATTTCCTCTTCTGTTTGTCTCAGGTGAGTTCGGAGAGGTGTGCAGTGGGAACCTCAAACTCCCGGGCAAGCGGGAGATCTTAGTGGCCATCAAGACCCTCAAATCCGGATACACAGAGAAACAGCGACGGGATTTCCTAAGTGAGGCCAGCATCATGGGCCAATTCGACCATCCCAATGTCATCCACCTGGAGGGGGTGGTGACCAAGAGCAGCCCAGTGATGATCATCACTGAGTTCATGGAGAACGGCTCCCTGGACTCCTTCCTGCGGGTGAGTCTGTTGTAATCGCGTGTGTCGGTTTATGTCCCAGAGCAAGAAACAGTGACATTGGGCTTGATGTGGATAAGCACACCCTTCAAAAAGCACATGCGCTTAGTGCAAACTGCACCACACACAAGTGTATCTCGTGGGCAGCGATGCTTATCCTGGTTTCTACTGTACATTGAATACTTCAGGAAATGAATTCCTTCTCATAGGGAGAATCAAACTTCTTGTAAAAGTTGTTTGAGCAACTGTATCCAAGACGTTCCTGCTCAAGATGACAGAAATATCACCAATCACTTCATGGAGATTTTTAGAAAATAAACTGTGAATTGAAAATAGTACACTGTATGACACCTTTGATGAGGTTATGCCTCCTTTGTTTATGGAGGGTTTTTTGTAAGTCTTTCTGGAAAGAATTTCTTCTTCAGAGAACTTGTTTTACATCCTGATCCTAAGAACATTTGACACTTGCATGCCACATGGTATCAAAGTGTGATGACAGGTCTAATATGAAAAGAGTCTTATTGGTATAGAATATGAGAGATATGGAGGACTAGAACTGGTCTTTACAGGCCCCTGGCCTGTTTAGTGCTGCAAAGTGTTCTGCCTGTTACAGGCTGATTAAAGACTGGAGAACCCGAACTCTGTCCTGCTTATTATGTATAGTACATTTTGGTCGGGATAAGTGGTGAAAAACAGTAATGATAAGGACCTATCCATGTATGACTTGTACAGTATGTGAAGTGTCATCAAAAACTTTTCTGGTAAAGTAAACTAAGTTCAGATTGAAAACTTTCTATCAGACCCTCATCATGAGTCATTTACTCACTTAGTTTTTTAATTTCCAGTTTTCTGAAAGTTTTTAATAGGTACTAAACATTGCCATATGGATGTATCATGTGCAGGTGCTTTAGGTAAAATCTTTTTGTTTCTCCATCTGTTTACAGTTAACTATTTTGAATTGATGTACGTAATAAAATGCAGTTGGGTATAGCATAAAGGTCCACTATAGAAGATTTTGTTTTTCATTCTTTTTTTATGCACCACTTGTTAAACTCTTAAATGCAATCTGTCCCTTTTTATATCAGATGAAATTGCAGTGATGTACTGTACTCTGCTGTGATTGAAAAAGCTGCAAAGAAGAGATATCTAATGATATTGAACAGTGAAAGTACAAAACACAGAGCTCTGTGATTATTTTATTTCTTTTGCCTTGACTAACATACTGTAAAATGCCTAGCCTATCTAACCTTTAACACATACAAAAATGAATGTAAAATATGAAAACACAACTCAAGATCTCATGCTGTTGTCCAATTTACAAATCTTCTGAGGAAATATACACTGTCTCTAATTTGCTGTTGTAAATTTCAAATCTCTGTAGAGTTATCTAAATTGCATTTGCAGCTTTCAGTGAATAACTGGAGATTTGATGCGTATGTTAGTGAAATTCTGACATACTTTTTTAAGGCATGGGTGCCTCTCTAGACTGACTTTCATTAGCTAACTTCATTTTAATTGTAAATTATGTTAAAAAAATAAAACCAGTTATTTAGTGCAAATGTTACATTAATTTTACAATCTTTTGATAATAAATGCATGTCTGTTCTCCCCTTGCGTCAGCAACAATTCAAATCAGTCGCTTAGAATGAGTGAACCCGGATTGGTACATTACATTTTCACTTTGTCTGCCAAGTAACACAATTCTTATTTATGGTAAAATCACATGATTATCTTAAATCTTAAAAGCCAACATTTTCAGGAAGCTGTAATTTTCAGGCCAAGTTTGAACTGGCCCATCTTTTTTATGAAACTGACAAATCTTTTCCACTTTATCATAATGGATATTAAAACATGCTGTATCAATTAAAGTGGTGGTAAATTTAGCCTACTTGTTCCTGTAATTTAATGCATTACTTGTTACATATCTCATTCGATATGACCCACTGTTCCACTGTTCTGCTTTAATCACTGTGTTTTGCATGCCAAGCGTTTTAGCAAAGAAATAATAAATATTACAAATATATGTGTATATATAATATATTTAATATAATAAAATAAATATATTATAAAAAGGCATATTAATATTAAAACGTATATACTAGAGGAAGCCATTCCATCTTGCTTCTATAGATGTTACTTGCTTAATGATTTTTGAAGGCTGTCACAACATGGCTGGGCAGTTTGTTTCATTCGCTCACATCTCGTTTTGTAAATAAGTGCCTCCTTATTTATCACAGGAGTAGAAAAGCAGGTAGAAATAAAGTAGGCACATGTGTTACCCCATACTCCATGGCTTGAGGTGATTGGCAACTGGGTATGTGCTGTAAAGAGCTGATCATATCAGAGCTATCTTCTTTATTGTATTCATGTAATAAACGTTTTACATGAATAAGTTGTACTGCATTTCACCTCAAACCCCTAAAGCCCCCTTACTTAAAGGATTGCAGTCCATTCCAAAGTGAAATAAGGTGGTTATGACTCAGATTAAAAAGTCATACACCATCAGATTCCACTACAACATGGAGCTATCAATAATATGTCTTCTGAGTTCGAATTATATTTCCACTGTGCTATAAACAATAGTATTGACAAGTATAGGTAGTATGCAGTATAGGTAGATCACGTGAATGTTCAACATTGGCATAAACATACTATGTAACGTAATTGTACTGGAGGCATTTCAACAGCAAACACTCACTCTCTCTACACTCGAAGGAAATGCAGATAGAGTGCAGAACATAAAATGTACAAATATTTTGGTGACATCTTGACTTTCTTCAGTTTTACCCAATAAAAAAAATTAAAACTCGTTTGCTAAAATGACATAGAAAACTCAAGAAGCGGAAAAACAACAGCAGGGGGCTGTCGAGCTCCCTGGAATTGCAGTTGCATACTGAATGTTTTTCTCCATAAAGCCACATCATGATATTGTGCAGCCTGCTGTGTTTGTATTCTGAAAGAAAGGGGGGAGCCAGAGGAGGAAGACTACAGATTGTCTGTGTCAGAGGTTGAGAGACACTGATAGAGATGAACTAAAGGCACAAAAAGGCACAAAATAAGGCAAATACTGAAGAGCTAGGAGAACATGTACTACTGTATATTACTCTCATGTTGTCAAAAGGCCTGAAGTCACTTCTTTGTAAAGGGTTGTAAAATGACTGGTATTTAGACTTAATATTACAGAATAGAGTAGGTCCACATTAATAGGAGAGGTGCAAATATGAATATTGTTCCTTTAAAGAGGGAACAATTTTGAATTATCCACATTTTAATAATGGAGAAAAGGATCTGAGTTTTTTTAGTTCTTTTGAATTTTTTTTTCCTTGTTGGTTGTTCACCTACAGTACCTGTCTGTTTTTATCTGAAAAGATAATAAACTTCAGAGAGCATTTGCTTTAGATTCTTTTAGGTGACATAAAGTAGACTTCTTTTCAAGACTTAGAGGACTTTTCTGGACTAATTAAAAACTGCAGTTTTTGTTTATGATGACGACAGAAATGCATCTTATCTTTTTCTGTGCCACTGGCCTCTTACAAAATAAATATTGTAATCATCGTAATTTTTAATGATGGAGATGTGGAACTTGTATATGTTAGAAATAGTTTTAAAACCATTTTTTGTAATAAAGAGACAAAGGATATTTGATACTTACATAGTAAAATGAGGAACATTTATTTTTTATTACTTTAGTGGAAATGTTTTTTCTGTCTTGGCCACTAATGACAGAATGGGGACTACTGATAGAAATGAACTGGGCTGTCTTGCCTTCTCTAGTGTCTGTAGACTCCTCGTGACATTGGTGAAGGTCATGCATTTCCTCCAATGGGTGTTGACACTACAGCAATAAACAGGTTGCCAAGTACCTGTGAACTTGTATTATTGTCGGCAAGAGCCATATTTCTTCTCCAATCAATGATAGCTCTGCTGTACACCCTGTCGTTATTATTGAAAATGACAGATACTCACCAGTCCACATTTCACAGGAAAGCACCGAAGCTCTGAATCTGTCTGTCTTGTGCTGATGTGAGGATTATACAGATGAGCTCAGTTGGTTCTAATGATCAGTTGTACTTGTTTATAAAGATCACTCTTAAAGAAATCAGTCTGTCACAGGTTTAATGTGCTCAAAAATAGGCAAGCAGATCAAGAAGGTGTTATATCTTGGTATCCCTTGTCTTTCTCATGTTGTTTGTATTCTGGCTGCTTTGAGACCTTTGTGCCCACATCCTGTGACAGACCTCTACTGCTGAAGTATTCCCCTATCCAGAAGTGTGTTTTGTTCATGCAGGATATTAGTCTTATGAATAATGGATGGTCCTTTATTGCCTAGGCATATAAAACATGATGAGAAATTACACAGCAGCAGCACTATGATTTGAAATCTCTTTGTGAGCAGTGAAAGATTGATGGCTGAGGAAGCAAAGCTGAATCACAGTGACAGAGAGGGAACAGCATTGGTAGAAATGGAAAGAAACTCTGTTACCTCTGTGGTCTCTTAAGAGAGACACTGGCACTCTCTTTCCAAATTCTCCAAGGGCTCTATGAATCCTCCCTGGGCTTTAGTGTTATTTATAATTTACCCCAATTCCCTGTAGTGCTGGTGCAGCTGGAAAACACAGTGGGATTGAAGCATTCTGCTGGTCCAGATGTGAAATCTGAGGGTATTCATGTCTGACACAGCATTCCTCACGTTTACTAACTGTTCGGAAGGGATGCATGAGTGAAGGTCAGACACAAATTTAGAACTATGTACTATAACCAGGATTAAAAAGAGCTTTTCCACATTTTCCCAAAGTCAAAAACTTTGATTTGCATGAATGAGGTTTGATTTTTAGTCTGAGTGATGATTTCATGATAAATCATGCAATGAGTTCACTCTCAACAGATCATAGTGACAGTAGACTTAACAATGAATAGAAAATAAACTCAAGTAACCAGCAGGGTTATAGTGTGTATAAAAACACTTGAAGCTACACCCTATATAATGAACTGACTATTGTATATAAAGCACTTTTATTGTACAGGAAGCTCCTAAATTTATAAGAAGTTAAAAATTTCTAAGCAAGGTAACAATATAATACTCACTTCAAAAGCCTGATTTTGTATTCTAGGTAAAGGAAAAATGCAGAAAGCAAACTGATTAGTGTAAGAGTGTTCAAGAGCTAGTGTGTCACATACACCAGCCATAGAAGAGTATGAATAGCTGCAAAGAACATGCCAACCAATCACAGGGACTGACATGATGCATGTATTTTTTATATTTCCAGATATGTGCGATTCATCTGTATTAAAATGGATTAGAATTAAACAATATTTTAAGATTTAAAATGTATTTTGAAATGACCAACCGTACCTCCCTATATATGCTAAAGAAAATTGCAGCCAACACCAAGAGTCCAACACTAACTGAAATAGTTAAGTAAAAAATGTGATAAGTTTAAATATTGATGTACTGTATATATCATCACATAAGAAAGATGGATAATGAAACTTTGGCAAGGCATGACATTTTCCTTGAAAAACGTGGCACTACATTGTCAGAAGAAGACTAAATCCCATTACAGAGGACATCTTATGAGAATATGTGATGAAATTATTACTTCTCCCATAAAACTATGCTATGCTAATGCATTGTACACTGAAAGGCTCCATCTTCATCTTTGAAGAAGTACAAAATAAGTAAGTGACATAAAAAATGTGATGTTGCTTTTTAAACTGTCATGAATCACTGTGCTTTTTAAAATTACAGTGAAATGCCAAACTTTGATCAAAAGGAACTCGGAGAAGTCCTGAGAAGTCTGCTAAACCCAGTCTTTATAACAGAATAAATGACATTATCATACTGAGTGTGTTGATTTCTGGATATTGTTCTATTTAGTCTTTAGTCAAAGTGTGCCTTTCTATCTGGATCATTGCAGCAGGGTCAACACCAATTGGAGACAATGCATGACCTTTTCCATAATACCATGATGAGTCTACAGGTACTAGAGAAGTCACAGCAGTTGATTAGCTGGGAGCCAAGACAGCCCAGATCATTTCTAACAATAGTCCCAGTTCATTCATTAGAGGCCAAGAAAGAAAAAAAAATTTCACTGAAGTGATAGAAATTAGATATTGCTCATTTTACTGCATATGTACTAATAAATGCATGTTCTATTACTTCCCATCATTATTAATTATGATGATTACAATCTTTAATTTGTAAAAGCACAGTGGCACAGGAATAAAAATTAATGTACATTTCAGTGGTTATCAAAAACAGAAATCTGGTGATTATTTAGTCCAAATACAATTATAAAAGCAGCCCTTTCAGCCTTATAATTTAGTTGACTTGGCCTTTTCCTAGCATGATGTTGGTTGTTTTTGTTCTTTCAGCAAAATGATGGCCAGTTCACAGTGATCCAGCTGGTTGGAATGCTACGTGGCATCGCGGCTGGGATGAAGTATCTCTCTGACATGAACTATGTGCACCGAGACCTTGCTGCCCGTAACATCCTGGTCAACAGCAACCTGGTGTGCAAGGTGTCCGACTTTGGGCTGTCCCGCTTCCTGGAGGATGATACTTCAGACCCGACCTATACCAGCGCCCTGGTTAGTGCCCAGCTCTTGTGGGTTTCTTACCCTGTCTCCTGCCACCATCCGGCACAGGCTGGATCATGTAGAGGCCCTTACATTGACTCCACTTACATTTAGGTTTTCCTGGAACAAGGTGAGCACTGCAGACTGCAGAAAAAGACAGCGTTTTCTTCTGCAGACGTCGAAGACAAAATCTCTTGGCAATTTGTGCATTAGGGTTCTAAACTGACAAGAAAGATGGTTTAATGCAGAACTGTTTATTATGTCTTTTAGAACACAACTGCGTCGTGCATAGGCTGCATGGTGGAAAATGTAGAAGGTGTTAGGATCATTGACTTTGATTTGATTACTTTTTTTCTCCTTTTGCTTACAGAGAAAGTGTTTTTTAATGTTATCGCTGCAGACATTTTTGTGACTTTTCTCCCAGTTCCTTTTTTTGGTCTCAGCTGGTTATGTGTGTGGTGTTTTTCATCCCATGATAAAAACAGAAAAATGCAATCGTTCCTCTGCTTTTTCTTGGCTGAAGGGAGGGAAGATCCCCATCCGATGGACAGCTCCTGAAGCGATCCAGTACAGGAAGTTCACATCCGCAAGCGACGTCTGGAGCTATGGCATAGTCATGTGGGAGGTGATGTCCTACGGAGAGCGACCTTACTGGGACATGACCAACCAGGATGTGAGTATTCCAATATCTGGCATATGTACAAGGTCTAATGGTGTATTGAGAACTTGAAGCAATTTAAAAAAGAAATATAAGCAAGATAAATGGCCATTTCTCGATATTTAAGTAGGAGAAATAAACATATAGCTTATTTTCCTGAATGTTGTAATGTGTTTTAGAGAGGTGACGCAAAGTTATCAAGATTAATAAGGAATGCTGGTAAGTCTTTTTGTCTAGATGTTTTGTTTTTGTTTGAGGTGACACACACCACCTAGTGGCTGAAGATAGCTTTTAGGATAGGTCTGTCTGAATAGAGGATTTAAAGTTATAAGGATTGTTTTATTCTTCACCATAAACAATATCCTCAAAATTAACTGATTATCTCAGTAGGCCTTGCATGTAGGCCTTCCAAGACGAGCTGTTGTCTGTGGGTCACATCTATTAAGGCTTCACACTAATCATGCTGTGATCCAGTTTATTTAATGATGTACCACAGTCTAATGATGATGAGCACAAGCAAATTAGAGAAGATGTGTGTTTTAACTTCTCTATTCTGAGGTGTTAACCAACTAGCATGTAACTAGTGGCTTTAAACATTAACTGCTTTTTACACCTTTTTTTGGATTTATGTGTCTTTGTTTGGTAGTTGGTTACTTTAGCAGCTTAGAGAATTTTTAGACCAGTAAGGTTCAGATAAAGATTAACTGACTTGGTTTTGAGTTTTCAGCAAAACTCTTTTATACCTGTGTAGGCCTGCTCTGCTTTTAAGAATATTAATTGTAGCTGTGTAAGACTGAGCCTAGTGTTCCTGAGTAATGAAGAGTACACTGGAATGTGTTGAACTTTCAAGAGACTCAAATTAGTCCTCTCTCGTATTACCTTCAAAAACTCTCGTAAAATCTCAAGAGTTTAAAGAGGTATTATGCTTTAATTTACTACAACATGTCACAAAAAACATAAATGGATTCTACAAAGTGAAGGTATCATAAAAAAAATTGAACTATAATGGCATGGTCTTCTTTTACTTTTGGTGAAATGCAGACTGCTGAACATAGCTAAGGGTTAGCTTAGCAATTAACAATTAGGTACAATTAATAAAACAAATGATTTTTGACTTAACGATTGTAGTCAGTGTGATTGTAAAAGCCCATCTCTTTACCATTTGAATAATTGAACAGCTGAGTTGGGGTGCTGCACAAAGGAACAGTTAGAGGTTAATTTTACACTGAAAAGTTAAAAAAAAAATTTGGCTGTAGAGGCTGTTTTACTCTTTTATACTTGGAATTCTCTTATACTTGTTCCCAGGCACTTTGACATAATCAAAAACAGTTATGATTCACCAATCATATAATTTTAATGGAAATATCCCATTCTTAGCTTAAAAATAGGAAATATTTGTTCCAAAGCTACAGTATGCCTGATAGCCTTATCCAAAACCTAAGAGAAAAATAGATGGTGTGTCTGAGCAGGTGGGAATTTTTGATACTTGCAAGAGAACATAGGGAACATGGAGAAGCAAGAACCTGAATGAGGAACACACATTTAAAATACTCAGCAGCGGGATAGAGGGAAAGGTGGTGCTATCAATGAAGTAACAGTCAGATGAAGGTGAATGCTTGATGTTGGAAGTCTCTAAGATCCCAAGACCATCTGCACCCCACCGCCCCACTGGTTCACCTGAGATAAGTGACTACTGTCAGGAGGAGATGTGTTGGAATGTGCCAAGCTATAATGAGCCCTCTGGAATGCTGTTATTCATGAGGAGGACTCCTGGCCCAGCCAGGTTGGGAGAGACGTGTCCCCAAAGCTTATGAAAGGTCAGAGCCAGGTTTTAATGTGCTGCCAGAGGTCTTGCCATGCAAAATGTGTCTCACTTTCCTTAACTTATTAGAATAACGTTTTGGATTCCCCTTGCCTCACTTTCGTGCATGCTGGTCTCCGGGCTGTCAATTAAAAATTAACCTTTATATTATCCCCCATACATTTATGCATTTTGTGTTACTATCATGGGATAACTTAATTAGGCCCTTGGTACCTCCAAAGTAATTAAAATGACAGGCAAGAAGTACTTGTTCAATAATTGATGTCCTGTCACTTCTCACTCTGATTTTCAGTTTTTTCCTGTCCTTTCTTACAGTAGCAGTAACCCACAAATAAAGCACCAGAAAGTGTTGTTTATTTCAGAATTCAGTTTTTGATTTATAAATGACACTTCTAAATCAAATGTATGAGAAATGTTTTATAATTTGCTTAAAAGCTTTCTCTGTTTGCAGAAATGTGTATTTCGCAATAAATTTTTGCAAAGTAATGTTTCATTCTGTAAATGACTAAGGTGTAATCACAGGAAGCTTTTAACATCTCTAAATTAATATATGCAGAGTGATGAGTGTTACTTAAAGCTGTTGACATTTAAGGTAGAGGCGCTTAGTGTGTCTGTTGTCTAACTGTGAGATGACACGATGGAGAAAGAAACTGCTGAATCGTCACTACTTCTTAAAACAAAAAATATCTTGCTTAGCTGGCAAACATTCAATCATTAAGATTAAGAAGTTTGAATTCTATAAAATAAGATTAAGCTCAGAATACAAGGAATTGGGCTTTCACAATGTTTTCAAAGGGTCTTGTAAGTTCCTGTTTTCAATTCAATTGCATCTTAAAATTTTAATATATTTCCAAATGCTTTGTGCTGAAAGTAAGCATTTGAGAATTTGTTTTTCTGTTCAAAAGTACAGTTCATGCAACAAAAAGCTTTTCACTTGCCAACTTCTTTTATGTCTTATTTCAAGATCACGTGCAAGAATAACATTTGGTAATAAAATTGGTGTACTTTTCAAGCTAGAATCTTGATGGTTCTGAAGCACCTTGTCATGGTGGTAAGAATGTATTACCAATTGAGCTTGTCTGGTTTGCATCAATGGTAGTTATCAATGGACACTGCATGATTTCTCAAAAAGTATATTTGGAATTATAGTTTATAATAATAATAATAATTGCTTACACTTATATAGCACTTTTCTGGACACTCCACTCAAAGCGCTTTAAAGGTAATGGGGACTCCCCTCCACCACCACCAATGTGCAGCATCCACCTAGATGATGCGACGACAGCCATAGTGCGCTAGAACGCTCACCACACATCAGCTGTCAGTGGGGAGGAGAGCAAAGAAGCCAATTCATAGATGGGGATTATTGGGAGCCCATGATTGATAAGGGCCAATGGGAAATGTGGCCAGGACACCCCTACTCTTTTCGAGAAATGCCCTGGGATTTTTAATGGCCACAGAGAGTCAAGACCTCGGTTTTACATCTCATCCAAAGGATGGCACCTGTTTACAGTATAGTTTCCCCATCACTATACTGAGGCATTAGGACCCACATGGACCACAGGGTGAGCGCCCCCTGCTGGCCCCACTAACACCTCTTCCAGCAGCAACCTTAGTTTTTCCCAGGAGGTCTCCCATCCAGGTACTGACCAGGCTCACACCTGCTTAACTTCAGTGGGTTGCCAGTTGTGATTTGCAGGGTGATATGGCTGCTGGCTGCTGGCTAATTATGATGTCAATTTCTCTGCCATCCATTTCCTAGTCAAAGTTTTCGTAAAGTGCCATTGTTTATTTTATAACACAGTTCTTTCATTAAAATATGTAACTGTATCTGTCAAAAAGTGTGTCATCCGCAGAAATACATACCTTAAAACAGCAGTGTGCAGTATGTAGCTTTCATTTCAACAGGGCTTTCATGTCAGTGATCCCAGTCAGTTATAAAAGCGAAAGCAAATAACTGGATCAATGATGATTAAAAATTGAAGTTAGGAAAGCTAATATAATTAGAGAAACCCAATAGTTCTGTACTTATCAAACTGATGAATCGAGATAATTTTTTCCCAGTGGGTCTTTCGTTTAACATCAGTTAATGCAATTGGTTTTGAGTTGAATGAAGTTTAGTAATCACACAATTAATGAGGCTAGGAGCAGCAGTATAATTTTCTCTGCTATTAACTTTTCTCGTTTGCCCACAGAGGATCTGCTTCAAGTGTCTATATGCAAATGTATATTAATATACAAGCTGTAATTTAAAAGCTTAGCAGCTTTTGCCTTTTTCCTAACAGTTATAACAACGCATTGTCTTTTTTTTTCTTTTTAGCTAATACTGGTAATGGGAGTGTAAAGGTTTTTTTTTTCTGTTTGAAATCTGAATGATGCAACTTACAAAACTGCAGTTGCCATGCTTGCAAAAACCACTGTTAGCCAGTATATGCCACAGAAATGACCGCAGAAGGGATATTTAAAGTGGTAAAAGAATTCTCTTCGTTTCTGAAAGGCCAAAGGATAGTAAAAAACAAGCTATGGTTTAAGCACAGCATATGCAAGGATCTAGACTTGCATACATAATATTCAGAGGCAGATTTCAGGCTCAATTTATGCCTGTAAGGCATATATACAGTATATAAATGCAGATACCATTAGCTTCATCTAAAGATGGCTATTTTTTAGCCTTTTCTGGAGCCAAGCGTTGATTCACATCCTGTTTGTTTGGAGACCAGCTTGCTTTCGTCTCACATCGCCAATACAGTTCCCAATGCACATCTATTAATTAAAAAGAATTCAAAGAGCAGTATTAGTTTGTTTACATTGAGCACACTTGCATGAGCTGGTGTAGGAAAGGAGAGGTGTCGGAGTGATTAATCGGTTTCTGAGACTTGGCAAGTTGAGACTCATATGTCTCTTTCAGCCTGAGATAATGATCATAGTTTATTCATGAAGTGGCTGAATCAATAGAATGTCTTGTGTACGATCCAACACATCCTTGACTTCCCAGAAGCATTTGCTTTATTGTTCTTTAAACAAAGGAAATGAAAGAATCTGTGGGCAGGAATGCTGTGTAAATGTTAAACTAATTAATTCTATTTCTTGATTAAGACTGTACACAAGGAATACAGGATACATAGTGTACTATATATCTCTTTGGACAGAAAACTATAAAATTTGCACGATCACTTTGACTCTTCCATGCCCTCTTCATATTCTGTAGAAGAAATCACTGATGATGTTTTAAAGCAAAACATGTTACAGTATCAGATGTCTTGCAGACAGGCACATTCCCTCTGGTTTCTTTTAACTGTTCAGATTCGCATTCATCTAAATGAAGTGTTGAGAGGATTTTCAATTACAGAGAAAAGGCAATAAACTGCTGTTGAAATCTATAGTACCAAAACAGTATTACAAAAATCAGTAATAATTATAGACTGATGCCGTTTCAAACCATGCATAACGTTCTGAAGCTATCAAATTATTAATGGAAGCAATGGTATTCATTTAAATGACGTGAAGGAAATGGAAAGCAAAACACGGTTAAGCTGGGCTCTCATTGCTGCTGGTCCTCAAACTGTGTGATGTCCTCTACAGGTCATCAATGCCATTGAGCAGGACTACCGGTTGCCACCCCCCATGGACTGTCCCAGCGCCCTGCACCAACTCATGCTGGACTGCTGGCAGAAGGACCGCAACAACCGGCCCAAGTTCGGACAGATTGTCAACACACTGGACAAGATGATCCGGAATCCCAACAGCCTGAAGGCCATGACCCCTCTGTCGTCAGGGTAAGACTAGGGGAGGAGGAACTGTACTGAGACTGGACTCTTGCCAAACTCCATCAGTCTATCCATTTTGTAATTGCTTTATCCAATGCAGATTTTTTTTTGGGGGGGTATACATCCTGGACGGGAGGCCTGTCCATAACAGGGCACACACTCACACACACTCACGCCAGGACCAATTGTCCCAGAAGCCAATCAACCTATTAGCATGTCTTTGGACTGTGAGAGGAAACTGGAGCAGCAGAATAAACCTACACGAACACAGGAAGAACATACAGTACAAATGGGCAGATAAAACCCCAGGTTCAGAATTGAACTTAGAGCCCTAAGCTCTGCGAGGTAGCTAGTATGCCCCTGTGCTGTGCTGCCCTTCTTGCCAAAGGGTTTTCTAAAAAGATAGTGAGCTTGATAATTTTCTCATGATAGGATCAGCCATGCCTTTTTCATGACATATCTGTGGTGTACTACAATGAGCTCACAAAAGGTGCAAAAGCAAAACAAAAACAGAAATCACATAGTAATATAACTGTTATTTGTAAAGACCTTTGTCCTTTCTTGCTCAAAAATAATTACAATCTTCATATCTTCAAGCCACTTTTAATGTACGTGTTGTAAACCCTCAAGAGGTATGAGCATCAACAATCGGCTTCCTCAGAAATACACATTAGGAAAAAAATGAAGTTAGTCTATATTGTGAAAACGTGCATTTTTTTAAAAAAAATTGTCTTCTGTTAGTGCTTTTCTAAACACTTTAGATTCATTAAGGCTAAAACACCTCTGAAAAAATTAATTTATTGCTAAGCACAACCTATTTGTCAGGTAAATTTTTGACACCAGGAATGAGGCCCTGTAGAGAAATTATTGACTTTGTTAGAGGTTAAAATTCTAGTTTATATGAAAGTTGTTCTCTGGTGCAGATACTTAGAGCTAGCTGTAGATTAAAGCTTGAGGTAAATCCTGGTCTCTGGGGCTGAATGACACCAGGCGTGTTTGTAAACACTGTCTCCCTCCTTGCACTGATTATAGTCACAGGCAGCAATGGAACAAGACAGCTGTGCTGTTGATTGCTCCATTGACAATGCATTGTTGTTGATCCCTATCACTTTCACTAACTCTCAATCACTTAGCTGGCTGACAGGAATTGCATGCAGTGGCACATGGCCTAAATCCAGCCTGCATTCATCATGTACAGTTCGCAGAGGAACCCTTGAAACTTTGGTGTCCTGAACTTCACATGACATTCATCAAGTGTGGATTGAACCAATTCCATCCTATGACAAGATTTTTCTGTTAAAATCCACCAGACTCGTTTGTTTATTCCTCACTAGCCAGGGGTGGTTGAAAGCTGTTGTACAATGACATGTTGTGGAGGTGGTGGCAGAAGAACAGCACAGGACTTTTTTATTCCCTGGTAACACAACAATAGAGGGAATTAATGAATGGGGTCAATTCCTCTGAGAAATGGGCCTGTTAAAATAATATGACAAAAATCCTTGTTGTTTCAGTGCTCAAACCAGTAAAGGCATTTATTTGAAAGCAGGTTGAGCCCTGTGGACATAATGTTGTCGATCACAGGGTTCTTGCCTGCTGAACCTGGAGTTCCTCAATCGGTAGCACACAATTCACTGATCATTGCCAGGGCAGAGTTGGGATTAGTCTCCTCAAATCTCCTGTTGCTTGCTTAGCATCTGTAGGTTTGCCGTGACATCAGTGAGAGACATTCCAATCTTGCAGTCAGCACTATCTCTCCTGTCATGCTGTGTGATAGCAACATGTCCACATGTCTTGTGCTTTTTTTGAGCAGTGCAGGAGTTGCAATCATAAAGCTCAGTCACATACAGTTGGTGATCCTGAATTGGGAGGGTTACTCACTCCAAAAATAATACAAATCATAAGGAAATATTCTGTAATTGAAGTGGGTAACAGAGGGATGAGAGGGTGGGGCGTCTGTCCGCATACATTTTCTTGCTGTTTAAATCTATGGACCTCACAGTTTTTTAAGGATGCACACAAATTTGGCAGACAGTGCAAATAACACAGGAAATGTCATTCAGTCTGTTGTGAGACCAGCAAATAAAGAAGGCTGCAACTGCGTCAGGGATTTTACTTATTAGTGGTGAAACTAGAGAAGCACTGTGTTTCTCACAAACGGTGTACATTGTAAAGCATTAACGAGAACCTATACGATTATCGTATTTGAAGCCATTACAATTTCAAAACAACTTATTAATCTCTTAATAATAGTGAAGTTAGTGAGTTGGTAAACATACACAGTTTGCATGAGCTTCCTTTTGAACATACATCTCCAGTGTGTTGGTCAGGGATTTCTTTACAGAATTTCTTAGGTTTCTGTTGCTTGAGTGGAAGGGAGAGTGAAAACGCATGATTTAAAAGGTGCATCACTTTTAAAGATCATGTGGCACATACTGTAAGTAGCCTGAAAGATACAAACATTTGGTACCAATTGCTCAAACTGGATCGCTGAGTAAATGAATGAGATGTATGCTTCCAGTGCCTATTCAGATCATGCTCTCCATTTATTTTTTTTTTTCTATTTGCTGGTTTTAATAAAATAAGGAAGAGGACTCCAGCGTTCAGCAGAATTTTTAAAACAATTCCATCCTGGGGCTTTCAACCTCATAAACAAAAACTTTAACTCTGCAATATTTAAAATGTGCTTTTAATTAGGTTACAGATGCATGGGTTCAAGCTCGTAGGTTTAAAAATTGGTTTTCATAAAAAAAATGACTGACACAACACTATTTTTAATGTGAGGTCAAATACTTTGGTTACATGTTTCTTTTCCATATGGCGCAATGTATCTGTGCCATACATTTTGTTTTTGTTGGTGCCAAATGGGTATGTAAAAAACAAATTAGCTTGTCACATTTGTTATTTTGGTGGATTCTTGAGGCAAACATAATATAGGCCACTTTCAGTTCTTTAAAAAACAATGGTTTTTAACTTTTGGAGAGCTAAATTACTGAATTTTATAGATTCCTTTGCATTTTTGTTTTTGCTTAGAGAACATTCTTTGATGTGTTTGTTTCCTGTGTGTTTCCACTTTTCAGATTTGTATGTGCTGACTAAATATTTGTGGAAAACATAGCTTCTTACTTAAAGTTCAGCAAGAGAATATCTGGTTATGAAGTAAATTAGTAATTAAAGCCTGCTGGTTACACATTATTTTCGGAAATGTGCAGCACTGAAAAAAAAATTCTATGTTGCTCTTTCACTCGTTCTCGGGCAATGTGCTCAATACCCATTTTTTGGCTGGAATACGTGTTCCATCAAGCCTGAGGTAAATTTAATGGGGCAGTCGGCCAGTCTTCATTTAGGCAAGCACCTTCAATCATAAACAAGAAACAAGTTAACATAATGCTAATTCTTAAGGAAGAGTTATAGATGTCAGTTTAAGCATTTACGTCTGAGAACATTCAAAATTAAAGCAATATTATTATGAATAGTAGACGTGTATATTATATAGTGTTCTATAGTAGTGTCCCAATTCTCAATTCAAACATTTCTATAGGTAATCTATAGATTTGCTTTGTCGGTGCCCTGCAAATGTTCTATTCAACAAGAATGAATCAGCAAAAAACATGATATGATATGAACTAAATATAAATATAATATAATATAAGGTGAAAAAAGTAGGTGATGTAAATTCTTCACTAAAGCAGAGTGCGTTGGTCTCACTGTTGGCAGCATGTCTTCTTTAAAAGTTCTGGTTGTTGACCCCATTCTTATTTTTTTCAGTGTTCATCTCCCCTTGCTGGACCGCAGTGTCCCTGACTTCTCCAGTTTCAACACTGTGGATGAGTGGCTAGATGCTATCAAAATGGGCCAGTACAAAGAAAACTTTGCCAATGCTGAATTCACAAGCTTTGATGTGGTCTCCCAGATGACTATGGAGTAAGTGCATGACTTTCCCTACCTGATCACTGGGATAATTAATAAAGTGAAATTCTCCTAAAAATGGCAAGACAGAGACTCGTGTGCCCATCCTTAATCAGTTGTGCTTTGTAAATACACTCAGCGTCTGCACATCAGAACACGATCTTTTCTTCTTAAGGAAATCCAACTCTCAGTGTTGTGTTTTTACTTGTTTGGAATTCTCTTTCTGTTACTTCACTGGTTACAAGAGAAGTGTAAACAAGAAATAATACACTGTAAATGTAGAAAAGTATTTTTTAATCAAGTTTGAGCTATTGTGCAATTACCTCCGTGAGACGAAAAAAAGGGTAATAATCCTATTCCAATTTAAATTTGGAACTAGACACGTTGATTTAATCTCCGTTTGGGCATCCTTTCAATTTGGAAGTGAGATTGCCAGATGTTCCATACAGTAACTACCTTTGTTAATAGTCTGTTTCACAATTTGCTTAACATGAGAAAATGGTAAACTATCACTTCGAGAGGTTTTTTTTTTTGTAGTAACCAGTCAGCTCAAAATGACTTTTTTTGTCTCGCCTGCCCTTTTCTCTTTGCAGTGATATTCTGCGAGTGGGCGTGACGCTAGCAGGCCACCAGAAGAAGATTCTCAATAGTGTGCAGATGATGCGAGCCCAGATGAACCAAATCCAGTCTGTGGAAGTTTGACCTTAAGAACAGGGGGAGCCGGACCCTGAGCCTGGTCTTCCTGTGACACTGTCTTTCAAACGTCCCCCTGTCCTCCAACCCCTTCCCCATCCTCTCCTTCTTCCCTTTCCTCAAGCCTTTGTTCTGCCCTAAAAGAAGACTTTGCCCAGCCCGATCTCCTTGACAACCAGCACAGAACACTAGGAAGACAGTAGGCCGACTGTCAAAGCCAAGTCTTTCACGGTGAACTTAAGCAGATCGAGTCATTAGTTTTTATTTCTCTTTTTTTGGGTTTTGTTTTGTTTGTTTCTTTGTCTTTTTGTTTTTTTAAAGAAAAACTAAAAAAAGAAAAAGCTAATTAAAACCTGAGGAAATATATATAGATTATATATATATATGTATGCATACAGAACTGAATGAAAAGGCTACCCTTTAAAAGGGCTAAGAGAAAACACACAAGAAGACAAAATGAAACTGGGGACACCCCATCCAACCCCTTCACACAACCAACACACACTACGCAGCTCTGAGAACTTTGCGCTTTCATTATTAAGCCTTTAAAAAATGTAAGATGACATTTCCTCTTCTGAATCCCAGCAACTGAAGGGAAACCATGGAAGAATTTCAAGGACCAAGAAGATGCCCCGGTTGTTACCGCGAGCAGAAAAAAATATTGTGGAACCCTCAAACCATGAAATGAGCCTCCTCTCGGCAGGACTTGCCCGTTTGAGCTATTTCTGAGACTTACATAGGAAAAATACTTGTAAAACAACAGAAAATGATTTTTCTTTTTCCTCACATTTAAATGTTCTCTTTGACAGTGTGGAAATTGTGATAAATCTTTTCTTTGCTTCATTTCATCTTTCCGGATTCAGGATTTTACTTCCTTTGTTTTAAATGCGCCACAGCCTGCCAAATGGAACACCCTCCATTGTACCTCTGATGTCATCAACCTGTATATATCAGATACACGTGACACTTGCTGATGTCATCACTAACAGGCAGCCTGAGACCGACGCCGGACCTTGGCTCAGTACGATTTCAGGATTTGATGAACTGGTTCAAAAAGATGTGCTTTTGGGGGGTGGGGATGAGAGGAAGCGTTATTGTTTGCTTATATTAATATTTTTCTTTTTTGAAATATAACATGATGATTCAGTGACGTTAATGCCATCATACCAGCTTTCTCCAGAGACTTATAAAAATGTTTTGGGTGTTCTTTTCCTATATTGTTTACATAGAAGGACCCTGAGTGCACATATGTTTGGTCTTCACGAGATATAGAATGAATTCCCGTTCTTGCTTTGAAACTTACCATGTCCGTTTTGGGGCCTCTATGGCTTCCACACAACAAGGTAGCTCCTACAAATAGGGAGCTAGACTGTGAGCATGCTGTGTTAGGAGTGGTTTCACAGGGAGCTTGGCTTCAAAACACTTTGCAGAACACTGTGTTGATGAGTTTTCATTTTCTTTGATTATTATTTGTGTTTTTTTTTTTAAGTAACTTGACCTTTTTTTAAAAAAACAAATGTTTTATAATGAAGCATTAGGATTTTTATTACCACAAATGATGACGGAAATGTAATTTGACTGAAATAGTGTAGAGGACGGTTCCTTTTTTTACCAAGGTTGGACAGTCTTTGCAGATTTGGTGGTAGGGTACTTTTTATATACCGTTGTTATGATCATAAGATTACATGGTAGGGAGTTCAGATGCTTTAGGCACCTTTCTTAATGGTGAGGGTGCTGGCAGGAGAAAGAGGGTTGTTATTAGATCTGGGGTGATTTGGAGTAGAAGGAAATGTGTAAGATCAGTTTTTAACAGGGTCCATACACTACAGACTTGTCTTCAGCAACACTGTAAGGCAGTGAGGGGATCGTGGCTCTTGCCTTTAACATACCAGCACAAAAACAAAAGGTTTTTATATAAGTTGCCATATTAAAGTGGGATCTTCCCAGTATAAAAACAAGAAAGAATACCCATTACAGTATGTTGTGGAGATGCAGAGTTTTAAAAGTTAATGGTTAATTTGCCTCATTAATTGATAAATTCTACTCTTCTCTCAAAACATTGTGTGGAAGAACTTTCCCTGCCTTTCAACTGATTTTAACTTTTAGTAGATTTTTTCAATGTGTATTTAAAGAAAATCAAAAACCTGTTTGGTGGTTTTAGAAAAAAAAAACAAAGCCATGGTGCTATTCTTTCTTTTTAAGCAAAAAAGAGACCTTTTGCTCAGAGAATTCCAGTGATTTTTTTTAATCACTTGTCTTTCTTATTCTTTAATTACACTTAAATCTGGCAGATGAACAGAGAGATGCCACTGTTAATGTGTTTAGAGTACGTTTTAGCTGTGGGATGTCGGGAATTGAAATTAAAATGGTGGATGATTTCCATTACAATGATAGCCACTGAAAACTGAAAAAACATGAAGGACCCTTACTGGTACATGAAAGGAAACATCAGAAGGTTGCAAACTCTGCTGTAGCTAAATAAGAACACTAGAATCCCAAACTCTCGAGCCTCTGAGATAATTCTGAGGGAAACATGAAAGACTAACCCTGTGACTTTCAGGGATGAGACAATTTGAACAGTGAACATTCAATATTTTTTAACAAGCAAGACTGGACCAAGCTGTTTTCGCTTGGTCTAATCTATCAGGTGCTCGCAGGAGTGCTGTGTTCTTTGTAGTTCAGTATTCCGTGTACATCCTGAAGTATCCTTGTTATGCGAAAGGTCTTCAAAAAGCCCAGTGCCTGATAGAGCTTTCTTCAGGGTGAGATAGGAATGAATTTGCAGCAGAGTACCTTATCTGATTTGGCCATCAGAATTCTCTACTGAAGGATAACAGCCTACCATGCTTATTTAAAGAAGTCCAACAATATTAATCTGAAGGATGATGATCCCCACTCACCTCAACAAACAGGGGTAGTCCTGATATGCTGGTTGCCAGGCAATGTTGGTTTATGTCTGCGTATAATCAGAACTCTGAGCCACCTGCCAATTGCAATTTAGTAGAACAGTACTCAATGGCAAGTTTCCATTGGGCAGTGAAAACAATACTCTGGTAAACAAGAAGCCGCCATCAAGTACAGGAGTTCTAATTTTCCAATGACTGAGTGGGTTGAAATTTGGATTTTATCAGGGCCCTCACCTTGGTTTTTGGCCCCAGCAGGTTTGCTACAAAAATCCTCTGTAAAGTTCTGTGAATACAGTATGTGCTTCCAAAATCGAATAAACAAGCTCTTCCAAAATTGTTTTAGAATGCTTCCCATTCGAAAATTAACATCACCCCTTTCAGGCAGTTCTCAAAGATACATATCAGAAGAAAGGATCAAGTGACTGTACAGAATGTTTTTATGTGAAAGGTTCTGTCATTTGCTCAAGGTGATGGTAATTGTCAAATTTACCCACGCCAACCAGGGCTTGCCCCAGAATTACATCTACACCTTGAAATACAGCAGTCCGTTCAGTGATTTATGTTTTAATATCTTTAATATCGGTTTCACAGCTTGAATCTTACAATGTGTCCTGATTCATGTGTTAATGCATGGTTTGTTTGTTGTTGCATTACAAACTTTCTATTTTTTGCTCATCATATACACTACAGATATTGGAAAATATCATCATTTGCTTTGATTCTTCACATCTTTGGATTTATAAAGATTTGTGAGTGGATACCCATGTGGTTCAAAGACAGGTATCCTTCCAGCTTCAGTATTATCCCATGTCTTTTGTGTTATTACACCTTATTTTCAGTTTAGTTGAATTTAACTTCAAGGTAGTGATACCTGCTGTAAAATAGAAAGAACCTGAGCATCCACTATTGAACCTCCTTCTATTGCTAATGTGTTATCATTCCTGAAAAAGTCTGCTAAATTTGGTTTGTATTTTTTTTCTAAATGTCTTGATTGTTCTTCAGTTAGCCGGGGTGCATACAATCTGGATTCTTCCCATAGTTTTTTTTTTCTGTACTGCACTTTTCTTATTGCAGGTAAGACTTGAATCTTCTTGCCACACTGTTTCCAAATTTTAATAAGGTACCTGGTTCACACTGTTCAAATTGGAAGAGAGTTTCTAAAGAGGTCTGGATACATCAAAAATAACTTAATATTAGAGTGCTGTAGTGGAGTTAGTTTTCCCCCCATAAAATTTATAAAAGCAGAACATAATTATAAAAAGCTGTTTTTTAAGCTGCATAGTGCACAGAACCTCTGGGTAAATTATGATTTTGTCCTAATTACTTTAAAAACTATTAAGTATTACTTAACGTATTTTTAAGTATTTTAAAATGATGCATTTTTTGTTTAAACAGAATATCTTGAAAGGAAATTAAAAGTCAGAATTGAAAGATGAGAGATCATCTTTGCTGCTTGTGTAGATTCTCTCACTTAGGTCATTTACAGCTTTTAAATAGGAGTATATAGTCATGCTTGCATCAAAAGGCCTTGAACAGATCAAATTCAATCAGCCCCTCTGGCTGACACATATATATTGTTTCTATAATTCTAAAATTAGATCAACCCTTGGAATCATCTTCTAATGCAGTCAGAATGTAAGAACCGGAAACAATTATGTGTTCCCTTTTTACATCTTCTGTCAAACGTTTATTTTTTTCCACCATAATCATGAGAAAATCTGTGAAGTTGCTGTTGTTACAAACCAACATTAAGATTGATTTCACAGAAATATGTTGCTAGGCTGCTGCTGGTGTTGTGGGTCAGGCTGGGCTGAATTAGCCCAACCCCAGCTCATCAAAACATACAATATATACAGTAAAGCTTTTTCTTAAACATGCATTTAAAGTATGCGAGAATGTTTCATCAGCACAGCTTGCTAATGCAGGCTGTTTTTTTTTATAAGGAAACAGTATCATTTGCAATAACAAAATACATTCTTTCGTCCAAGAATACCAGGGTATTTTCCTTACCTTTTTTCCCCAGTTTTGGGCTGGTACTGTACAGTGATTAGGGTGGATAGCTCACAACTCAGAAAACTGTGGTTTTAATTTGAAGTTGGTTTTCTTCCAGGGGTGATGTAAAAATTCAGTTTATTTGACAGCAGTAAAAGAACTTAATCTTCTTGTGCAACTTTATAATTGTATGGTGGCTCTTAATGTAAAGGTCCTCATGAGAGAGGTGCGTACCTCCCCATACAGTATTGTAAATGACTGAAAGATTTCTAAAGTTAATCTAGGTTATTCTGGATGTATCTGTATAAACTGTTCTTTCACCTATGAAGAACTCAGGTGATTGAAGTTTTTAGCTTTGGGGTAATCTATTGGTCTTTTTTAGCTGTGAGCATTCAAGTTATGAAG